TTCGAGCGCTTCAGGGAAGACCTGGGCATGCCAATGGCGAGGAGGCTGTTGAAGAAGGCCATTTTGGCCGGAGGTGTGCGGAACGAAAAGGAGATGGAGATCGCGGCGGGTGGCTTTGGGGCGAAGATGAAGCTGCTGGCGGTGATTGGGGCGGATTTGGTGGGGAAGGCGGTCGCCTTGAGGGACGTCGTGCCCATCGATGAGTTCGATGCCTTGATGGTGGCGGGTGTCATCCTCATGGTAATCGGTGCGGTGTGGGTGGCAAAGCAAGCGGTGTGTGCCACTGTGGGATGTGCGAAAAAGCTGAGAAGGATCCAGGTGGAGGAGAGGCCGAGGGACTTCATCCAGGTGGATCGCGAGATCGCGGAACGTCGCGACCAGTGGGGTCGGAGGTGGGTGGTGCAGAAGGAGAAGGGGCTTGAGCAGGAGCACCACCGGACTGCGAATGTTGCATCATCGAGCTCGACGGCGAGGGTGAGGAGATGCAGCAATGACTGGAACGAGTTCCAGCACCTGAACCGTGGAAAGGGCTGGGGCACCGAAAAGATGAGGGCGGAATACTACAAGGAGAAGAGCAAGAAGGGGGTTTGAGTCTACGTTTTGGAGAACCGGTAAATAGCCCGGTTAGGCCTTTTCGGCACGGATGTGCCGGGGGGAGCCCGTTAGTTGGGGTATGCATGAAGCCCCTTTTGATCAAGGCAGTGAAGGAAAAAGACTGCCAGCACCCGACAAGCTGGGGAAACCGAAATACAGCACACCAACCAACAACGCCCAGTTTCCAACTTAAGGGATGCCGTTTCGGGGGATTCCGTGCTCTCTTGCCGGAAAGGAGCCGGTGTAGTTCGGGTGGCCTGCAGCGAAAGAGAAAGCGGCCCGCTGTAGGTCAAGACCCCCTCAAATTCGACAACGACACAACCAATTTGGCCGACCTGCTTGATTCACCTCATGTCATGGTCATGGCTCCTGAGAATCATGGTAGACATCCTTTTGAAGGGCCATGGGTCCTTCCGGTTTTCTCCCAAGTGACCAAGTCGTCTGACCATGGTACACAAGAGCCACTGCCACTATTCAGCAGGTGACCTCACAACAGTCATACACAATCATAAAAAGAAGTCGATACTTGTGCGACCCCAAATGGGTTCGAACAAATGGGTTCCAGGAAGTTACACACTGGTTACACGCACGACTGCAGGCTGGAACCTGTTTCTGAGGTCACGTTTCGGGTTCCCTGAGGTAAGGTTCGACTGTAGTTGTGGTTCGCCGTCTCCGAGGGCCCAGCGCAGCAAACGGAAAGGGCCGCTGGTCACCAGCTTCTCCTCCCCATCCTTCGCCTGCAACCGGTGGATGTCCATCGGAGCGAAGTGGTTTGGAGCAGCTCCCGGCCAGGGGTTGCGGGGGTTGCTGGGGAGAATGACCACCGTTTGTTTGGTTGATGAAGGGAAACCCTCGAACAAATCAGAAACAGGGACAGCCCTGCTGGAGGTGTGGGTGAAACGCTGATCAGGGTCCCGGGTGCATCAGGGTGAAACAACAAAAACGCAGCACCCGAACATAAAGCGCCAATTGTTTCAGTTGGCAATACTTGACATGGCGATGATTTCTGGTCATGTGAGATGGCGAATTTTCGGAAACTATTCAGACAGAGGGCGGGAGGACAAGAGGGGCAGGAGGGCAAGAGGGCAGGAGGGCGGGTAATGTGGGCCTGCTCCACATTTCCAAAAGACCAACGACTGCCAGATTCAAGGTGACCTCCAAAGCTCTATGTTCAAGGGGGCGGGCGGGCATATGGAATGCAACTCCATATGTTCAAGGGGTTGATGACCATCCCTATTTCCTTTGGTTTCCCTTTAAGAAGCACCCCCGCAAGCGCACCTTCAAAAACACGCCACAGGCCCACATCATTGTGTCCTTCGCTTTGGTTGGCAGGGATGGTCATCAACCGAATGTGCACGGTTTTTAACGCAAAACACACACCCAAACTCACCTGTAACCCTTTCGCACAATTCCGAACCGCCTTCATCGCGGACTTGTAGAGATCTCCGAACGATGCCAGCAACCAGCCCACCTAGTTCAGTGGAAGATGGCCAGGGGGCCAGGCTTAGAAGTCCGCCTACATCACCCCACCGGAGCTGCTGAGTTTAATGGTGAGAAACTCCGAACCACCCCGGAGCCAATCTGGGAAAAGTTCCAACAGCTTTTACTGTTGGAGAACAAACAACTGTTGGCCCTTGACGAAAATGATAAAGACAAGTGCTAATAAAAGCGGCGAAGTCTGCCAACTCATCAGAGATGTCCGCCTGAAACATCACCCCAAAAGGACTTCCATCTTACGTTGGTCTCGTCAAAGGAATTTCACCGCAGACTTAAGCAACGCCGAGCGGTTGACAGGGGCCTCGATCCTTTTTTCTCAAGGCACACCAACAACTAAGTGTTATTCCATGCGAAAATGCAAAAACATACACGCCGTATTAAGTGCTCAAAACAAAAAAAAATGACCTCCGAATTTGAGGGTGTAAATGTATATATATATATATATACATGGTTGGCCCCGCTGGGGCACGAATTCTGCCCCTTGACTGTGAGCTCAAAGTCCAGGACAACGGTCGCCCGTCTAGGATACAGTAGTCGTCCCGCATGATGAATTTCTCACTATGGTCTGCTGATTACCCAAGCAAGGACACTACAAACCACCAGCCACGTAATATGGTCCATTGCATGTTTTCGGTGTTCCGAAAGATTGAGGTTCTCCCGGCGGCCTTGGTTTACAACCAGGTAACCACCCTCTCAATCACGCTGTCTCCTCCTAATGTTGACCCTGGATCAACAAACCCTGGCTCAATAGGATTCAGGATCCTTCACTTATGGGGCAAAGCACACTCTGGTTATCAATGGGTTCGCATGAACAGGACCAAGATGGAAACACCAAGGCCCCTCAAGCAAAATCGTTTTTCACTGGCCTCCAGTGCCTTCAGGCAGGTTCCATGTTGGATGGGTGCCAAAACACAGCCGCGGGGGCGCCTGGTCAGCCGACTTTGCCCTCCGCATAAACAAAGTTGTGGCAAGGAACTTGGAATGAATGAAACCAAAGTTCTGCGCTCTGTTCCCAATGACTCTCATCCAGGAAGCCATTGGGTTTCAGTCAGATTGTGGGGGGTGAAGGGTGGGCTGGGGAACCATAACCGGAACCCGGGCATGTTGCCCTTTGACAGGGGGTTAAACAAAAAACTAAACAATGGGAAACCCACTCACTTGAGGTGCCTCGGTTTGATATCCAATGAATGCTACGCAGCCCACCCTGCGACAGAGAACGTCATTTTCGATGTCGAAAATCGCTGTATCAGGTCTGGATCCGTGAGGAACGGCCCTCAAGGCCATGAAGCATCACTGTCCATGCCGTGCGTCCCTGGAAAAACCCAGCGCTTCACTAGTCACTAATTTCTTCAAGTTCGTTCCAAACTGCTCGCATTTGTGGTCCAGCACCCTCGCAAGACGGCCTCGCAAGTTGCAAGGGCCATATCCACAGCACCTTGGCCTCGGAACTGTTCTACACAAGGCCGCGTGGGATTGGGCCTTAAAGGCCCAGGAGGTTCATCAGGACCCATCCTTGATGGCTCCGCGGGCTGTCCTTTTGAAACAAACTTGTTTTGGAAAGAGCAAGCTTGGAGTCAATGCTACAATTTGAGGAAACTTGTTCACATGTCAAACTCGGAGCTAGCCCCACCCTTCCATGCAAAGCGCAGCAGCGCCCTTTACACTCGACTCTCCGTACCGGCTTGCTCGATGGACCTGCCGTATATACCTGCCTGGGTCGGAGCCGCCGGATTGAAGCTAAAAGATAGAATCTGACTATCTGGCAGGTGGGGAACAACTCAAAAAGGCATTTTGCACGAACCGAGTCCCGGCCTTCCACACTTCTGGAGCCCTTTCCGTACATTTCTCCATGGGTCTCAAAAGGACAACCTGTGCTTCACGCGCGCGCGCCGCGCTTCGCGCGGAGTTCCGCGTCGGCCCCGCGGCCAAACGCAAAATGGTGACGAGACTTTGGCTTTTGCCAGCGATCCACATGACTTGGAATTCCTCGGGGTGGGCGCATTATCCTCAGAGTCCCCTGTGTTGTTCCAAAATCACAGATCCTGCACCTTGTGCAAGCCAGTCTCGGCCGTCCTCATCATCAGCTATGTGCAGTGCAGACTTTCCGAGGTCCGGCGAAAGCTGGTCTAGTGTCTCTTACCGATAGGTCCCGCCAAATGTTGATAGGATCCCAACATACTTGTCCCTGAGTCTTCTTTGCCCAACTGTTTCGCAACATATTGATATTAGAGCCAACTCATTGCTTTATCGCCCTACCCTGTTTCTAAACGGTTCAGTTCTGAGAAAGGGATCCCTGTGCGTAAATCCTCCCGGAAGGGGAGCCCTATATTTATTTTATCAAAAGCCAATGGCCGTCCCGGGCCGAAAACCGAAACTATGTCTTTGGCCTTCTGTGGACCTGTCCAAGGAAAAGTCATACAAACCTACTCGTAGGAAAATTAGGAACCCATGTAATTTCAGAAAAAGAGAAACACCATTTGAACGAGTCGCCGATTCTGATACACGTAGAGACTGTGTCTCAAAATGAGCGCCCAAAAAGCAAGGCGTTGGCTGAGGATGGCTTTCTGCGCCGTGCTAGAATCCCCAAACAAGGAAGATCAAGGTAGTATAACAGAGGGGCGACTTCCATGAGTGTTGGAAAGACGGCAAACGAATTCAAATACATGGGCCGGGTCCCTTTTGGATGATACCCCACATAGTTGCCCTTTGGTGCAAGCTGCAACCCGTTTATGAGAACCTGTTTCGACTCCCTGAATTTGTCTTACAATGGGAAAGCCCCGTTCGGATAGGTCGGCAGGGAAACCTAAAGGAAACCAACCTGAAGGGAGATTGGCCTATTCCCATGACTCACTCAGCTCTTTGATGGGAAAGCAACAAAACCACCAAACTCGGGGCAATCAGACCAAGGCCATAGGTGTTCACCTCCTCGGAAAGTCGAACCGTGGCCCGCGCCACCCTGCAAATGTCTCGGCTCACTTTTTAATGTGCCTCGACCAATCTCGCAATGTCAAGGAAATGTCAGGCCCCTGCCAATACACATGGTAGTGCAAAGGGCCTCTTTGGAAGACCAGTTACCCCTTTTCAGGGAGGGAGCCTGTCCACTTCCATGTTGGCCCGAGGGCAAATGAGGGGGTTTTCTTGGGGATGGTCCTTCAACCAGTTCTAGGTCGGGAACCGTAGGGGTCGTCCCATTTCTGCTGGTCCTTCAAGAAGAGGTCAGTTTCAATGACGGGTCCAGGTTCTCCACTGGAGGGCCTGGGCCTGTTTCCAGCCATCATAGGGGTGCACAGGAGGGTTTTGAAAGACTTTCCTCCTTGTGAACATGTTCTGAATGAATACCAATATGGGTTTGTGTCAAAATAGCAGAACCCTCAAAACGGTTGGGTCCTTTAAAACCATTTCACGAGGGCGTCTGGGAAAAGCGCAGCCCACAAAACATCCAATGGACCTTCAAGCGCTTTCGCTCGCAAACCTACGCCGTGAGGTCGCAACCCACCGGTTTTTTGGTGGCAAAGTGGGCTCCGCTGGTAAACGACAAGGAACCAAATTGAAATCAAGTTGGTCGAACGCATCTGTTTTCATTCAAATTGAAACCAAACAAATGCAATCTTAGGGGCGGGGGATCCCAAAAGTTGTAATGGTGACCTCAGCTCCCCCTAAGCTCCACCCCAAAGAAAACAAACAACAACGTAACAACATTGAGCTTAAACCAAGACGATTCCTTTCTTGGGAAAAACAAACAACAAACTCAAATTATTTGCATATATCATATAGTGTCGTTGAGAACCCAGCCGCAATTAGCGAGGAAACCACATAAATCAATTTACACAAACACAAACACCACAATACCAAATCCGGCAATTCCAAATCAAATGAAACTCAAATCCAGCAATGTTACATCACATGGAAACTCAAACGTGGGCCCCAGGAATACGACCCAATTCCAAACCGCTGATTTGGTTGGGGGATCACCAGATTCAGGCGGATCCGTTGTTGATGTGCACGATTGATCAAAGGTCCCCACCATTCCAGCCCTCCGAAACTGCACCTCCTGCAAAATCAGCCCTGCATCCATGCTGCTCCACATGGTCCACGGTGCCGCCGCTCTTCAAATGCACCACCATGTCGCAGTACTCGAGCGTATGAAGATGATGAGTGACGGAGATGATGGTGAGCGTTCCAAACTCCTGGCCAGCATGGAGGCCAGAAATCCAACCGAATCTTGGGCTGCGACGGTCAGCGCAATTCTGATTCCTTACAAGAAATCGTGTCACTCAAAAAGTCCGAGCCTTCCAAACTGGCAAATTCGCCCTCTGGGCCCGGAGCAAAGGTTTGGAAGAACCGTTCTTAGAAGGGATTCCGATCGAAAGATGCAGGGATGTGGGTCTGTTTCGAGAGTGCAAATGACGCTGCTAAGACTTTATCAGCTCTCAAACGGACGGATAAAAAAAGTAAACGTGTTCGTAAACACGGGCTATCAAACTCAATGGTTGCAAGGCGGCAAGGCAAACCAACCTACATACAGCCACGCAAGTGCTTGATGTTGGCATGTTGTGCAGTCTGAACGGATTTTGACCAAACAAGTCCATGTAGCATGTCGGCCCGATTTGTGATAGCAAACCTGCCGGCTTCCATGTATGATAAAACACTCAAGCATAACCAATGTCGCTTTGCTCTGTCGAAACTTGGGTGGCTTCAGCATCGCGTTGCCCGCGTCAATGCCACATCAAGCAAAGTCAACAATGCCCAGCATTAGTATCGTAAGCATAGTCCTCCACAACATCATCATCACCATCACCACCATCATCATCATCATCATCATCATCATCACCATCACCATCATCATCATCATCATCACCATCATCATCATCATCATCATCATCATCATCATCATCATCATCATCATCATCATCATCATCATCATCATCATCCTTGTCTTTTGCATCTTTGACGGCTTAGACGCCTCGAAGCAAATTGCACTGGAACCAGCAGCAAAACAACATCACTCGCGCGACCAGCATCAGCTGCATCACAAGGATCACCAGCATCGCCACTGTCCGAATCAGCAGCATTGCTGATCTTGCCAATGTTGGCACCATCAGTATAATCTCATGCGAGGCATGACAAACAGCAGGGATGACAAATGCAACTCCACCGATGGCACTCTGCAAATGGCTGGAGCTTAGTAGACACCTCCAATTTGCTCATTTGAGCTTTGGTTTTGTCATAAAATTACCATATTCCCCGCTTCTTGTGTGGCAACATGGTTTCCCTTTGGGACAATCAAGGGAAACCAAAAGTGCAGAATTCCTCTTGGAGGGAGTTTTAAAAGCGGCGCAGGACTGGCTAAGGCTCCAAAAAAGCTGTCGCCGTAGGGGAAAATCTGGTTATTCAGTGCAGAAGTCCTTACCTGAAAGGGGTAAACAGGTAACAGGGGTCCTTTCGCGTCCCTGTAAACATCCCCCCTTCCCACGCAAAAAAAGCCTCTTGCCCGGTGATTCCATGTCCTATAGGCAAACAAGGGAGGCACCGTTCGAAGGCTAAAACAGGAATATAGCTGGTCAACCACGGTGGAAAGTGGGATCCACCGGCCTAAACCTGAGAGTCTTAAGTTCCATGATAATTTCAGGAGAGTAGCTATCTCCTTTGTTTGTGTTTTCTTACTGGGCCCAAGCAACAAAACAAACCAAAAAGTCCCCTGCCGCGAACCTTGATCTTCTCTTTCCAGCCTCCGGATGGTTGCTCCGCAAGCTGGAGATGGTCTGCAGCACGTGCCGCTCTGTAGCCTTGCGAAATGCGCGTTTTAGGAGGATCTGAACAACACTACCGGGCAGGGGGGCGTACTCCATCCGGGTACTTTTGGAAAAACACCCGCTGGTCAATGATTGCCAGACTGAAGCCACTGGAACCCATGTTCAACCAAACTGACCTGAACAGGACGCGTAGGCTTCCCGTATGAACCTGTATTATATCTCCCACTATAGGCTAAAGAAGGAATCCCCACTTAAAACAGGATTTAATCTGGAGGACCATACTATTCAGGGCGATAGGTACCTTTTCAGGTCAATTAGGTTCAGTGTTGTAGTACTTGCAACCACTCCTGCGAAAAGCGCCTTGTTTGGTTCAAGCCCCCGAAAAAGGGGCAACCTCAAACAACCCTGCCCCCCCCCCCCCACGTTTACTGCCACACATGCAGAAACTGTCCATGAGTACCAGGCTGATTCCCAGCCCTGCAGGCAAGGGCTTGAGCAAACCATCGTTCGTGAGTCCATGGCCGGTCTTTTTGCCACTTTTGCAAGCTCTTAATTCCCCACGGGGTGACTAATCGTCGAGCGAGACGAATCCCGCGGTAGATCAACATAACACAGCAGCACAGATTTACAGCCATGGCAACCGTTTCTAAGAGAGGAGAAGTCCTCACAATGCGCCAGGTTGATGAATCTGGGGTCGATATCACTTGCTGAGGCGGCTCAACGAAGGGTTGGGCCAACCCTGCAAGGTTGGGCCAACCCTTGCATAATATGTCTAAACTGTCCTTGTTTAAATAACTTGCCAACCTCATGCGGGCTTGTCTAATTCGGGGCACCCCCGACCCCGAAAATCCTTAGCATCCTTTTGACTGCCCTGTAAATACTGAAGGACCAAAGTTTCAAAATTTGAGAACGTCAGCTGAGGTGCGGCATCCAGGGCCGAGGTGGCCTCATCCAGCAGAAGCAGTGCAGGCTTGCGGCACAGCGCCCGGGCGATGCACAGACGCTGCGCCTGAAGCATCGGCCCTTGGTGCTGTTTGACCCCTCTTCCTTGTGTCGGGACTCTTTGAGTTGACCTTTTGACTTGAAAGCAAAACTACCTGTGTTTATCTCTCTGTGTTTTATGTACTCTGAGAACATGTGGTTGATTGTTTTTGTGTGTTTGTTTGTTTGTTTGTTTGTTTGTTTGTTTGTTTGTTTGATAGCTTCTTTTGAGGGTGCCCGTGCTTCGAGCCAAGGACAGCCCCTAATCCGGTCTAAAGGATTTAATGGGATATAGCCCCCCTCCCCAAAGATCTCCCTTGGAGGTCCACGGCACAATGGGCGCGTTGTTGATGATATCCTAGCTGCTGGCGTAGTGAGAAACCAAAAGGCAAAGCGATATGTTCCTATTTGAGTGTTCTCGATTGAAAAACAGTTTTTTGGGGAAATTGTTGGAACGGGGTATTTCCCCCCCCCAAACAAAAACAAAAACGAACACGTGGTTGATTCTGATCCATGTGTAGTGAACCTCAGTTTGTGACCCTCTTTGGGTGTGTTTTTTTAGGGCTTGTTGCTGATGTTTGTTTGTTCCTGGTCCTGGTGTGTTTTCATGTGTGGGCCTGCGGGGGAGGGGGGGGGAGGGGGTTGTCACGTTTCTTATATATCAGGTTTACCTTTCAGGACCCCCGCCTCCCCACTTTCATTAGTACAAACATTTCCCTTGCCCAATGAGATGCGGCTGAGTTTTGCAACCACTGCCTCTTGCCTTGATTGATCTTCTGGTTTGGTGGGTGTTAGAGCTGCTAACTTGCCTCTGAGAAACGTGACGGTGATGCGAGAAATCCAATTGGAGCCTCGCCGTACCAGCCCACCAAACCACACGGAACCGTGGACAGCCCGCCTGTCCACCACTCAGCGTAACGCCGTCGGCACCTCCGATCAAGGTGTCCTCAAAGAAACATCACGCTCTCTGTCTCTCTCTCTCTCTCTCTCTCTCTCTCTTGCCACAGGTTGGTTGGTGAAAGCGCACTGTAAAGAGGGGCTGAAAAAAGGGCATCCTTTTTATGCTCGTCAACCCCCTATGCCCTCATAGGATTCCCCTAATTAACATGGAACGAGACCCAGGTTGCCTTTAAAGCGACACCAAACAAAGACGGTCAATTCTCAAGACATGAGCCCTTCGCAAACCGAGGCAAAGGTAAGTACCTCCCCCTTGCCCGACCACCCAGCCCCCAGGCCCTTCCCCCGAAACCCCCAACCCCCACCCCCTGAGGCAATCCGAGCGTCGTAAGCTTTGGGCAGGCTGGTGGTGATGAACTCCGCGCAGCCAGCCAGCTGCGCGGCCCACTCCGCGTCCTCCGCGCTGGCGCCGCTCGGAGCACCTCGGGAAACACCCAAACCAAGTGGCTGGGCCACGCGGCAACATCGGGGGACCATGAAAAACCCGCAAAAGCATGGGCGTTCCGCTTTCGCTTTGGTTGAGGTTGACTTTCAATTCTCACATGGTTCACCAAATTGTCGTCACACGAGTTTACCTCAAACTCTTGCCCCAGGGCGCAGCTTCCAAAGTTGCAAGGGGGGACCCCTCCACCAAGATGCTGAAACTCATTGGTCTCAGACCTGAGGATTGGGCCAAAAGGGGCACCCGATCTTTGGGTGATGTTTTTCACAAAATGAACCCCCTTTCAAGTAAAAAAGCGGCACTGCAGGTCTGGCAGGGAGTTGGCTACATATTTAGCCTCAATCATGATGGTTTACGGGGGGGTCCGGTGGCTGCGGGCCAGCGCCATCTATGAGCCTGACAAGGGCAAAGTTGCTTGCTTTCCGCAAAGGACCTGGGTAAATTGGGACCGTCTGGTGTTTTGGAAGAATTTGCAGCCTTGACCCTCTGCTCGTACGCCAACAGACTAAAAATATGGCAGTGACTTGATGGGTGTTTGACGAACAAGCCAAAAGATATGTAGACCCAAACGAGATATGGAATCCAACAACTATGCTAGCTTTCCTTTCGCTTCTCTTCAAAACGATGCAAAATGGGTGCCCTCAAGAAAAGGTACGGGCAGAACCATTACCCTCAAACATCACCTATGGCCTACGGCGGGTCAAGACCCCCGGACCAATGCGCACCACTTTTGACCCTCCAGAACCCGTAACTCCTCGGGGCCTTTGCAACCAGAAAGACATTCTAAGCCCTAAGACTAAGAGGGTTTTCCATGTTTGCACTACCCCACAACAAATCCCCTCAGCACGCACTCTATTTTCCCTTGGTTGTGGTTTGGGCGTGGTGGAAAGTTGCTGCCCATCAGTAAGCTCAATTCTGTTTGCACGAACTGGGCCTCCGACAAAGGAACAGCCAAAATGCGCAGTGGCCGTAGCAGGCATCAGACAATTAGAGAAAGAGAGAGATAACACGAGAGAGACAGAGCGAGAGAGAGAGGGAGCGAGAGAGTGGCCCCATGTCCAATGTTCCTCCCCAATGGACCATAGACTACCAGATACGTTGACCGAACCCTTGAGCCGGGCAGCTAATGAGGATGTTATCCAGGACAGTGCCGCGCAGTAAGGTCTTGTCCTGCGGGAAACGAAGCACGGCAAAATTGGCTCAACAAACAGAAAGCTGTCAACAGTATACCCTTTTTGTGCTAAAACAGTGTTTTCTTTGGTTTCCCTTCTATCCAACCCCGAAACAGGCACCTCTCAAAAGGCACCTCTACATAATTACCATGTTTGCCCGGATCAGGTCAACTTGCGCTCCTGGAAAACCACTGAGATGCTCTTCCGCAATCTCCGGGCTGCATCGTCCGTATGTCCTCCCGGGCAGCTGATCAGTGCCGGGAGAAAGGACACACACACACACCTTATCTCACTTCCTGAGCGGATTGGTCAAAGGCCTCGACTTATTGTTTGCCACCTTTAGTCGTAGAAAGTCCAGGAGCTCAATTAAGGAGTGATCTAATGGTCTCCAATGGCTACTGGTTCAACTTTGCCGCTTGGGATACTAGCGACCTCACATTTCCTTTTGAAACACCCACCAAGCCCTTTAGGCTCGAAAGCTTGGCTTCCATAATGTTCAGCCCCAGGGAAGAGTGGGCCTCGAAGATTGCTTGCTTGCTTCAACCACGTGAGGTTCTCTGGGCTATGAATTCAACTTCTGAGCTTTCTCTACCCTTTCTCTACCAGGGCTTGGGAACGTGGATCACTTGTAGACTTCTCAGTCTTGCTTGTAACACACACCGCAACAAACTCAGGAGAATGGGGAAATTGAGTTGCGCTGCGAGAGGTCTAAACTGAAAAGGGCTAAACTGATAAACGTGCTTTCGGCAACCCGAGGCCTAGCTCGAAAAGCAATCCTGCAGTCTTGATGGGGACGTGATCGTGTTGCTCCGTGCTTTAAGCTTCACGTTGGGTTGGTATTTGACCCCCCTGCTTTTGTTGCAAAATGTTTCAAGTTGACCAAGCCAGCAAGAATCATCTGGCGGATTCAACTCGGACGTCGTTTCATGGTTCAAGTTCAAATCGAATGACATTTCCTGAAATCCGGAACCCATTCGAGGCGTTTGAAGGGAAACGTTTTGGAAACAAAGCCACCTGGAACAAATTTGCTCAAGGTGAATGGGTGGATACTCATAATTATTCACCTCTATCTTCCTTGGTGCACACCGCTGCATCGTGCAGACGGCGAACTCTTGGCTACAAGCAACACTTCGGATCCCCAATACCCACTTGCAGGTTGTGATGTCAGCCATTGACTAAAAAGGACATATTTTACCTCGCAGTGTGATCTGTCCTTTTGGTTCCCTGCAAGCCGACCGAAAGGGGTACCAACTCAACCCCTAACTTAAATAAACCACCTGACTAGAAAAACAGGTATTTACCAAGCAACGGGCACCCGGAAGAGCTGCCTTGCGACGGGTCGAAGCTAACATTCTCGCCCAGGCTGATGGCGCCAGAGCCTGGGAATCGTCGACTCAAGGGAATCCACAAACGTTCCAACGGGTTCCCTTCGGATGCTACGCAGGTTTTTGCAGTTGGATTGAAAGAATTGACATGGAAACGACTTTTTTGGGGGCGCCCCCAATTTTAAGACAACCACAATTGAAGGCGGCACACCATGACACCTTGAGAAACTGGTCATTTTGAAGTCGCTCCCTTTTTGGGTTGACCTCTATGGTTTGTCCCAACAAAGGAAAGCCCCAAAACGGGGTGGGCTTCCCTTTGGTTTCCTGTTGAGAAACACACGCCTAAAAAGCGTACTCTAAAAGCATACTTGTTCATACCCATTTGTCATTGCTGGAATGCGGCCAGGCATCTGGGCCGAAGCCAAGTCATGAGCAGGGAGAGGAGTGTAGACTTGCCTCAAGCGAGCGCTGCGGAGCCACTGCTTGAGCAGGCCAACTCAACTGGACCTCCCACAGGCGAGCCACAACCTGACGTCTCAAAACAAGGACAAGCATACCGTCAACTCCTGAAGCAAACGGAAAGAAAGGCCCAGACTTAGGTCTGGCAATGTTAAAATCCTTAAGTTCCTTGGGGTTCCTTGAGCCTCACTGGAAGCCTGCTCAAACCGCACAAAAAACCTGCGGGAAACCGCTTGCATCCGAGGCCCTGGCCACACCCGGAGCCCCCCACCAGCGCCACAAACTTCCCGGCGGGGATGCTCAGGGAGACATCGTTGATGATGAACCTAAGAAAGCCCCACTTTAGAGGCCGTTCAAAAAATCAACGTGTGCTGGGGTGCCATGAAACCAAACTGCCTCATGGTCACGGGATAATCATGTTAGTGATTCTTCCGTCCCTCATAGCACCGGGGGGAAATGGGGGTACATGCTGTTTATTTCAAGTTGCATTTTTCCGCGGCTGTATATGCGAAGCTCCCAGATTGAAAGCCTGCCGCGGTGTCCTTCGATCTTTGGGGCCTAAACAAGTCTAAACTGTCTACCGCTAAAATAGCATGTCGAACCTGCGGTCAAAGCTCTGGATTGAACCCTCCATTTATCACCCAGTTCCAAGGGGTTTGGGTCTGTGTCCAAATGGGCAGGCCGGGAAGCTTGCAACTTTTGGCCTTATCGCTTCCTTTTTGGGAAAAGCGCGCACCCAACGGTGAAAGTCACCTTAAACCCACCTGAAAGGACATAGTCCTTCTAGGACAACCTGAAAGTAGATGGCACAACTTTCTTGTGGGTCAGGGGATGACGAGTCATCCACTTTCAGCCGACTCGTCACGTCCGAAACCCCTCTCAAAGGAATCCAAGCCCGCGGCTCGTTCCTCTCCGGGTACCGGAAGCACAGGTGGCCTAGGGACAATCCGCTTTGGGAGGGGGGGGGGACATCCATTTGCAGCCAGAAGGAGCCACAGCAACGGGGGGCATGGAGCCCCAGTAAGGATTGGCTCTGAATCAGTATTTGGCTTTTGGATGGTTTGAGGAATCCCATCACCTGCAAGCCCTCAGAAAGTCAGTCGATGCTCAGTTGCCCTTGTTGGCAGGTACCATTTCAGTGGGCAGATTGAATTTCCACCATCCTTTGGAAGGGTCCACGGTGTAGGTTCGTTATGAAGCATACTCCCCCGCAAATTAGCATGAAAGGTGTTCTTTCAAAAGGGGACTCCTCTAAAATCATGTTCTTGCTGGGTTCCAGCTTAATCTGCAGGGAAGATCGTCAGCGTCGATCGTTCTGCGATATGTAAAGTTGGTGGTTCCCTTTGCCCCCCACATGGTAGTGCTTTGGTTGTCCCGTGCACTCCAGTGATTTGGGATCTGAATTGATAGCTAGTCCGGTTCACACTAAAAACGGGTGACGGTTCCGTTTGACCCTTTAAACCGGGCTGCTCGAAAGACCCTCGCTGGGCATGTGGTCCGCAAAGAGTAGCCACACAATTTGTTGCCAATCTTGAGGCTTGGCAGCAACCCCTGGTACACCCTAGCAAAAGGAGGCACACCTTTTAATTGGCAAACAGCACTTGAGGGGAATAAATTGGGATCCATGTGAGTGGTTGGAAGGCGAGCCCAAAATGGCTACCGTTACTCCCCTGCAAGTGTTCTCCAAAACCGGAGGTTCCTCTACTGTTGTGTTGGGTTCCACGTTGATCTGAAGGAAGTTTACAATGTGGCACAAGGCCTCTCACGCCGAGAACCAGGAGCAAACCTGGAGATCCGTTTCATACATAGTTTGTGGCGATTCCCCCATTTAGCACACAAAATGTCATTTCATACATTCGCGTTTTGGGGCTTACAGGAAAGCAAAGGTTTTTCAACACCTGAGCAAGCGCATTTTCCATGATCGGCCAACCGTTGAGTGAAACATAGGTGAAACCCTGCCATGTAAAGAGGTGAAACGCGCAGTGAAACGCTTTTCATGCTCATGAGTGCCGTGTGTGTAATGCGTGCGTGGATCAACCTGAGTGCGCGCGGCGGCTGCAATAAAGTGATACCTGACTGAGGCTCAGGCATAAAGTCTACGCGGTGCCTAGTAGCTTTTGCAACTTAGGAGGCAAGCCCGCCAAATATCTCTGCAAAGTAGTCTTCGCCGCGGTTGTGACATGCGTTTTGCGTAGAACCATACCAAACTTTTTCAACCAGTCCTCATCCATAAACGTAGCGCTGCGTGCAACGTTGCGCCGTGTTTGTTTGATCTCATCCAACATGTGACAAAGCATGTGATACTTTGGACGTGGGTTGTACAACCTATACGTGTAGTCTTTGTACTTCACATGCATGCGTAGGTAGATCGTGGCAAAGGCGTAGCCCAAAGTGTGAACCTGATCTGCAAGGTCTTGGGGCAAAAGGTGACCGTTCTTTCGCTCTTCAAAAAGAACACGCATGACGCGGTTGATGTAGGTGAAGCATTCCCGCAGCTCCAAGGGGATAAGGGACTCGTCGCAGGTAGGGAGAAGCGTAGTAAGCCACTGCACCAGGGTTGCGCACTGCGCCGCTTTGCACCTGCATTCCACGTACACGCTTGTTTTGGCCATACCCACCCACGCTTTCTTCATTTCCCATTTTCTTGGAAATGTTCCTTCTTTGCCTGGCGGCTGCGTCTTGATAAACTGCTTCAGCATGCGTGTAGCGCTTCGCAACCTGCGTTTCAAATTGGAGCCAGCAAAAGGACCGCGCGCGCGAGACCTCAATAGCAAACACAGCGTGCTTCCCACCAGATCCCTCCCTATACCTAGGTGGAAAGTGTGCATGATATCCACCTGCACGCAGCGAAGGCTAAGGCTTCCTTGGGCTTGCAGGATTGTTGGTTCTGCTAGGCAGGGGTCCACTGACCAGAAAGTGGACCGCCACGCTGCGCTCTCCGTGATATCAGTGTATGGCATGGACATGTCCTTGCTTGCCAAACATTGGAAGCAAATCTGATTTGTATGCGGAGTCCTGAATAAAGCCAGGGCTTGGCACAAGTACTTCCAATCCCCTCGTATTCCAACAAGCTGAGCTGGGCACGCGGAGAAAACTTGCCTAAGTATATCAAACGAATCGCGCACATGTCCCAAAGCAGCCTGCAGGGTAATGTTCGTATTGTTCTCCTCATCCAAAACGTACGCGTGAGAGTCGATTAGCGTGATGGGAAATCGCGAGGCCATTGAATCTTTCAAAATGTGAAACGGAGCGTTGTCAGAGCCCCACTGCAAAAACATCCATTTGCCATTTATGTCACCTTCATCACCCCAAAGCGTTATCCCAATTTCGCAATAGTCCGGAATGTCAATCCCGTAGGAAGACCGGTGCATGTTCCAGTACTGAGCGTCTGCGTGCCCCAAAATATCCCTGAAGCCGTTGTCGACAAGAGACTTCACCTGACAAGGTCACTGTGCAGCGCGTAGTTTTTACCATACACACACAAGCCGCCGGCCAAAATATGAGGTAGCAGAAAAGGATGTTGAACTGTCTGAACCGGACCTTCATCGCTCGCGACTGGGAGATCTAAGAAACAAATCGCGCTATCCAAAGCCAACTTGTGCTTTTGCATTCGCGCATGGGCGCGCTCATCTTTGCGGGAGTCTTTCCTTAGTAGCCGCGAAGAAAAATGCCACGAAAAAAGAGCCATGTTTGAGCATCAGTGTTTGACAAGCGGCCCAAACACACTTGAGTTGTAAACCTCGCCTACGGCTGAAGCAGTTGCAAGCGTAGCTCCGCCGCGCCCGACTTCAGCCGCGAGCCTGTCAGAAAACAAAACCAAACTGTCTTAAGACAATACACATGTGGCCTCGCATCCAGAGCACGGCGTAGGTGGTCAGTGGATGAGCCTGTCCAAGCATGTGTACCAACATGCATGAAACTGTTGCACTAAACTAGGCTACTATTTTCAATACATACAGCGATGTAGCTAAATAGTCGACTCGATCTGTACAAGCACTCATGAGTGAATTCACGCATGCATGCATTCATGAGCTTCGTTTGTGCATGTTTGTGTGTGTGTGTGCGTGCGTGCGTGTCATGCATGTCGTGTGTGATCTTCTGCGTGAGCTCGTCCACGAACATCACCTGAAAAAGCAGGAAAGCAAAAAAACAACGAGAAAACAACTGAGGGGGCAACAGAGTTCGTGCCTGCGCAGGCACATATACCATCACCAGACGCGCTGCAGATCCAAACGTGAAAGATACAAACACGCATGCGGTCTTTGGGCAGCGCGTGCGACAAAGTCATGCCAAATAGTCCAGCGCTCAGAGATCTTGTCTAGCTTGCGCTATAGCCCCTTAGTACAGCGCGCGTGCACAAGACACGCGCCCTCATTTTGTACAGGTTAAGGCTCAAGCTTTCGAAGCTCTTGCAACGTGGCCCGCAGCTGGGCTTTCTTGACCCTGATCGATCCGACCTGGCCGTCATACAGAATGCGCTATCACTGGGATGTGCGTGGAGCAAGCCTCCTGCGTGAGATCAGGCATGCCCTTATCCCAATCCGACATATTGGCCCAAGCGCCAATCCTAGGATTGGCTGGTGGCCAGGGAAGTACATGCGATAGACACATTGAGGATCTGGCTGCTTCCAGAGAGCCTCGAGTTTCCCCGAAGCTGTGTTGACTTCGGCCAACTCCTCCTGCATAGTGTCCGGGAGGTCCAGCTTGATGCCATTGAGGCTGTTCACTTCCTTCTTCAGCTCGCCGCCTAAAGCGGGGCAAGCGTGTAAGGAAGAAGCAGCTGCGTGAGTGAGGCTGGAGCGCAACTTTTCCATGCGCTTCGTAAAGTCGAGGCCGTCCACACGAAGGCCCAAGGGGCCAACAGCGCCCTGCGCCTGCTTGGTCTTGGGCTTCGGCTTCGCCTTTGCTTTTGCTTTGGCTTCGGGTCCACCTGCCCGGCAGCAGCACAGTGGCAAATCAACTCCTCTTCGCACGCGCCTCCTCCAGAGCTAGCTGCGGACGAGAGCTCCTCGGCTAGGGAGCGGGCAAAGTCCAGAGCGGCGCCTGGCGCAACCAGCTGGCCCAGAGCAGGGCTGCCGAGCATGGAGGAGTTCGACAGGACGGCGTCCGTTGTGCTCTGCTGCATGATCGTGCTGAGGGCTTGATCGGCCTGCACACGGCCTCGCACAGTGGTAGACGCTTCAGTCTCACGATCACGGGACCGAGTTATGGAGGTTGTGCACCAGTACTTGGTGTCCTCAACGCTGTCCGGCACCAAGGGGTCAGGCACTCCTGGCTGGGACTGGATGGTGGCCTCTATCTTCTGCCTTGATGAACGGCAATTTGCGCGCAAATCAGGAACTAATGCAAACAAGTGGCTTGGACATCCCAGCATCCTTCATCTGGCGGACAGTCAGCAAAGCCTCGCCCTCGTGCTCCGTAGCGCGGCGCTTGGCAGACACGGTGAGGGTGGCCTCGATCGCATTTGGATCTCCTGAGCTCGAGACCCACTTTTCCAGCAAGGCCCTTTTCTGGTCCAAAGACCCCTTGCTCATGATCTTGTGCATCTCCGGAAAGTCCAGGATCCTTTGGCTCCTGCCGAAGTTCTGCAGCTTGTAGTAGGCCTTTCTGTCGAAGACCTTCTTGCGCTGAGCTTGCTCAGCGGCACGGTCGTCGGGAGGCGGCTGCAGCGGCGTGGTGGGCACCGGGTTCTGCTTTGCAGGAGGCACAAGACTTGGCGAGGTCGGCTCGCCGTCAAGGGCGTCATCACTCAGCGCCTCAGACTCGGCCTGCTCATCGGTCTTAGCCTCCACCGGCGCGAGCTGCGTGTCCTGGTGGGGCAAGGCTGTGGGGAGTGTGTCCTCAACGTCGGGCTCGTCGTGAGGCTGGGCATCCTCCATGGGATCCTCGAAGAACGTGTCAGCCAGACACCTCGCGCGGGGCTCGGAGCAAGCGAA